AAACTGAAAGTAGATAATATAGGTTGTCGTCCTTTTTCGTATTCGCATTTCTACTCAGGTTTCGACAATTATGTCGGAAACGCCGACGTCGGCAATCGGCGGTGCGCGCGTCGACGGTCGGCACAAAAACGAAAGTGCCGACGAAGCCGACGGGAGAAAAAGGGGTCGCTGGAAGTCGGCCAGGCCTCGCACTACGCACATTGACTGATACAGGCGGGCCTAGCGATAGCATCGGCCGGTTCGCGGGTCGGATTTCAGACGATTGTCGGCAAACATGCAGGTCTAAGTACATGTCTCACCTTTGACTGTCCAGTGCATGTCTCACCTTTGACTGTCCAGTACGTGTCTCACCTTTGACTGTCCAGTTGTCTTGTCCTTGGCCAGGTAGATGCGAGAGATGGGCCCAAACGGCCGGAACAGTTCCTGCAGATCTGACTCTCGGGTGTCCTCCGACAAGTTGGTCACACGGATTGTGGCGGCCTCGTCTGGTGGGCACCAGGGGGGAAGAGAAGGTATAGACCATATTGTCACTCAGTCTCAACCATTATAAATAGACATTTTTTTAAAATAAAAAGGAAAGGATAAATACATCCCACGTCCACTGTACATCACAAGTGCCACAACTCTTTTATACATTTATATTTTAAAACAGGAAGGGGTGTAAGGAAATAGCTCAACTAGAGTTCTGCATACCTTACGACATGCAAGGACAGCGACACACAACATGTGTAAAAACAGCAACACACGACACATACGGACAGCGACACATAACGTCCAGCACGTACCTTTCCTCTGTGTCGACATGGACTCGCCGCGCCCCTTGTTGGCCCCCTCTCTCATGACGGGGGGGATGTACTTGCCCGTGGTCTTGGGGGCGGGGGTGGTGGAGGGCGGGGCAATCTCCGGTTTCTTGGTGCCTTCCTCCAGTTTCTCCTGGTGGGGGGGACGGATTGTTTTAGGAAGCTTTTACGGCGTTCGCAACTGCATAAGGTCATATGAACGCAAAGGGCTGGATGTCAACAGAGAAGTCCATTTCATCAGAACACACCACTGTGTCATTACACACCACCTCATCACAACACACCACTGTGTCATTACACACCACCTCATCACAACACACCACTGTGTCAACACACACTCCTTCCATTTCCTCACAACACACCACTGTGTCAACACACAAAACCTCATCACAACACACCACTGTGTCAACACACACCACCTCATCACAACACACCACCGTGTCGTGTCAACACACACCACCTCATCACAACACACCACCATGTCGTGTCAACACACAATCCTTCCATTTCCTCACAACACACCACCGTGTCGTGTCAACACACAATCCTTCCATTTCCTCACAACACACCACCGTGTCGTGTCAACACACAATCCTTCAATTTCCTCACAACACACCACCGTGTCGTGTCAACACACCACACACCACCTCATCACAACACACCACCGTGTCGTGTCAACACACACCACCTCATCACAAGACACCACTGTGTCGTGTCAACACACCACCGTGTCGTGTCAACACACAATCCTTCCATTTCCTCACAACACACCAGAGAGGACAGAGCAGACGTACCTGCAGCGGCTGCAGTGTGTCCTTGTAGGGACACTTGGTGGTCCAATGGTCGCCCTTACAAATACGGCACTGGACAATCTTCTGATTCTTTAGCTTGGCCAGGGGGTCCTCTTCCTCCACCGCTGGTTGCTGCCACGGAAAACACACACAGAAATAGAGATATTGATAGATAGAGAGAGATTTACATACACACACACACACAGAAATAGAGATATTGATAGATAGAGAGAGATTTACATACACACACACACAGAAATAGAGATATTGATAGATAGAGAGAGATTTACATACACACACACACAGAAATAGAGATATTGATAGATAGAGAGAGATTTACATACAAACACACGGAAATAGAGATATTGATAGATAGAGAGAGATTTACATACACACACACAGAAATAGAGATATTGATAGTTAGAGAGAGATTTACATACACACACAGAAATAGAGATATTGATAGATAGAGAGAGATTTACATACACACACACAGAAATAGAGATATTGATAGATAGAGAGAGATTTACATACACACACACAGAAATAGAGATATTGATAGATAGAGAGAGATTTACATACACACACACAGAAATAGAGATATTGATAGATAGAGAGGAATTTACATATACACACACACACACACACAGAAATAGAGATATTGATAGATATACAGAAATTTACATACTCACACACAGAAATAGAGATATTGATAGATAGAGAGGAATTTACATATACACACACACACACACACACAGAAATAGAGATATTGATAGATATACAGAAATTTACATACACATACACAGAAATAGAGATATTGATAGATATAGAGAAATTTACACAAACACACAGAAATAGAGATATTGATAGATATAGAGAAATTTACACAAACACACAGAAATAGAGATATTGATAGATATACAGAAATTTACATACACACACATTCACACAGAAATAGAGATATTGATAGATATAGAGAAATTTACACACACACATATAGACATAGATAAATAAGTGTATTTACACACACACAGATAGACATAGATAAATAAAGTGTATTTACACACACACAGATAGATAAATATAGATAAATAAGTGTATTTACACACACACAGATAGATAAATATAGATAAATAAGTGTATTTACACACACACAGATAGAAGAGTTCACACACACAACAGACAAAGTGACAGAAGTCACACAACAGACAGACAGACAAAGGGACAGAACTCACACAACAGACAGACAGACAAAGTGATAGAAGTCACACAACAGACAGACAAAGGGACAGAACTCACACAACAGACAGACAAAGGGACAGAACTCACACAACAGACAGACAGACAAAGGGACAGAACTCACACAACAGACAGACAATGGGACAGAACTCACACAACAGACAGACAGACAAAGGGACAGAACTCACACAACAGACAGACAAAGGGACAGAACTCACACAACAGACACACAGACAAAGGGACAGAACTCACCTCTTTGTTCTGCACAAACTGCATGAAGACTTCCTCCGAGACGATTGTGTTGGAGGGGTTTGGCCCAGGGGGGTCAGGGGCCGCAGCGCCAAACTTCTTCCACATCTGGGGGGTGGCAAGGGGAATGCAGACACATGAGAATATGACAGGAGCAGTCAAAGTGCACGACAAGCCATCGTGAGAATATGACAGGGACAGTCAAAGTGCACGACAAGCCATCTATCTCTAACTTCTAGGTGGTGGAAAGGTCAGAGCTGCTGGAATCCAACTTGGGGAGTTTTGTTTCAAATCTGAGTTGAGTGTGCAAAGCATTTCCCGTCTTTACTGGTCAAAACCTAAGGAAAGGAATTTCTCTGTCCTGTTCTCAGTTGTGAGGATGTCCGTCTCAGACATACATGTATCACACAGGAACTTGGACTTGGGGGGGGGGGGGGGGAGAAGAGATTCCGTTCAGACAGGTTTTCCTCTCTGGCAGTTTTCACAAATTATAAAAACATGTTCCGGAAGGACTAGGGACTAGACAAGGAAAAGTAGACCGTTCCTCTTTTGCTTCAGAATAGAACAAACCAACAAGCCCAACAAGGTAAGCGGATACAGTATCCCTCCTCTCTCACAAGGCACATGACAAAGTGGATACAGTATCCCTCCTCTCATACAAGGCACATGACAAAGTGGATACAGTATCCCTCCTCTCACACAAGGCACATGACAAAGTGGATACAGTATCCCCCCTCTCATACAAGGCACATGACAAAGTGGCTACAGTATCCCCCCTCTCATACAAGGCACACGACAAAGTGGATACAGTATCCCCCCTCTCATACAAGGCACACGACAAAGTGGATACAGTATCCCCCCTCTCATACAAGGCAAACGACAAAGTGGATACAGTATCCCCCCCTCTCATACAAGGCACACGACAAAGTGGATACAGTATCCCCCCTCTCATACAAGGCACAGGACAAAGTGGCCACAGAGAGAAACCAAGGTTCCTTTTAGATAAAAAGAAAATTTGTTGTTTTTGAAGATGATAACCCCTCAACTGTTTACCTTTCTCCGTGCTATCGACTTGGAGAGCCGCATCGTTTCAATCTTGAACGTACGCACCACCTGAAAAAAACAACAAAAAACAGAACACAAAATGAAGGAAATAATATCATGAAATATGGTTATCATTCAATTCTGTACACTAAACAAGGCACCAAAAATCTGTACCGTCTTTTCCTGGCTCAAGGTTCCTCTTCCGGTGGTAACCAACGACGAGCTCAGAGGCAGGCAGCTATTATATCTGGTGGTAACTCCTTGTGCCGAGAGAGACAACTTGTGCCGAGACAGACAACTTGTGCCGAGAGAGACAACTTGTGCCGAGAGAGACAACTTGTGTCGTTAGGACGCCTGGCACCGGCATGGGGGAACTGGCTTCCTATCCAAGACAAACTGGACAAACCACACAATATACACCACAGGTGGAAGCACAGGCACATTTCTTGCCTTCTGACAGGTGAGAAAACCGCACCACACCACTGTACAATCTCACACTCAGTGCCCTGCCCTCTGCCCAGGCCCTTAACTGTAATTTCTGTCAATATAATTCCATCAGAGTGAGAGAAACAAATAGAATGAATAAACACAACTTTAGGCAAGGTACGAACGACCCATGGTTACATCAGTGGAGAAGAAACTGACCCTATAATTCAAGTACAGTGAGCAAGAACTGAATTCTCCCCTTTACAAAACCCAGCAAACCTAACAGGCAAGCAGCAAGAGGACTCACTGGACCAAGAGGACTCACTGGACCAAGAGGACTCACTGGACCAAGAGGACTCACTGGACCAAAGCAACAAGAGGACTCACTGGACCAAGAGGACTCACTGGACCAAGAGGACTCACTGGACCAAGAGGACTCACTGGACCAAAGCAACAAGAGGACTCACTGGACCAAGAGGACTCACTGGACAAAAGCAACAAGAGGACTCACTGGACCAAGAGGACTCACTAGACAAAAGCAGCAAGAGGACTCACTGGACCAAGAGGACTCACTAGACAAAAGCAGCAAGAGGACTCACTGGACCAAGAGGACTCACTGGACAAAAGCAACAAGAGGACTCACTGGACAAAAGCAGCAAGAGGACTCCCTGTCAAGATAAAGAGAAACGTTAGAGGAGGGACAGCTCAACTACCTTGACTAGTTTCCCATCGTCGTTGTGCTTGTATTCTGTGACTGTCTTCACACCTTTCTTCTCATCAAACTCTTCGCTTGGTGGTGGCAAGCCTGAGGGAGAAAAAGGCAGACATTGGAGAAGGACAAACACGATCACTGCACAGCTGAAGAACTCTCAACAGACATGTCAACACACACACAGCACATGCCCACAGACATGTCAACACACACACAGCACATGCCCACAGACATGTCAACACAGACACTCTAAAAGATCAATGCAGACACTACACAGCACATGCCCACAGACATGTCAACACAGACACTCTAAAAGATCAATGCAGACACTACACAGCACATGCCCACAGACATGTCAACACAGACACTCTAAAAGAT